TTTCTTTAAGATGTAATGCGATTATTGCTATGATAGTGTAATTCGAACAAACAGTAAGAGGGGACAAGATTAAATATCTCGTCGGTATTTCCGGATTTTACTTCCTATATGTGGAGAGAGGTGTTTAGATATCTGATGCATTTTTCATCATTATTATTTTCCCTTTTCAGTTCTCAAAAGCCAGGCGAAGTATTATTCCTGCTGGAGACACTACTAAGCTTATTCCATCAAAGGATGCTGACATTGCAATCCTAGAAGAACCAGAACATTTGAATTGGTACCATCATGGTAAACGCTGGACTGATAAATTCAACCATGTTGTGGGTATTGTTCACACAAATTACTTGGAATACATCAAGAGGGAAAAGAATGGGGCCCTTCAAGCTTTTCTTGTGAAACATATAAACAATTTGGTTTCAAGAGCATACTGCGACAAGGTATTGGTTAATCTCTGAGCATTCATGTTCTGACTATATTTTGATTGTATCACAACTGATCAACATCTCTGATTTTGTCAATAATTACATTGCTCATTGTTCTGTGTAGGTCCTCCGCCTTTCTGCCGCTACGCAGAACTTACCAAAGTCCGAGATTTGCAATGTTCATGGTGTAAATCCTAAGTTCTTAAAGATTGGAGAGAAAGTAGCAGCAGAGAAGGAGCGCGGGCAGCCTTCTTTTTCCAAAGGAGCGTATTTCTTAGGCAAGATGGTTTGGGCAAAAGGGTATAGAGAATTAATAGATTTGTTAGCAAAGCGCAAAAAAGACCTTGATGGCTTCAACTTGGATGTGTATGGTAACGGAGAGGATGCTCATGATGTTCAGAGCACTGCAAAAAGGCTGAATCTGAATCTGCAATTTATGAAAGGCAGAGACCATGCAGATGATTCTCTTCACGGGTAAGCATAAATTTTTTTTCCTCCTCTTGGGTAATCAAAACCATTTTTGCATGTTGATATGTAGTACTCGACTATATTTGGACATTACAATGAACTGGATTTTAGTTTTTCTTTCTTTCTTTATACTGTCATAAACTATCTAATCAATGTTACCATACAAGCCGTCAGCAATTTTCTCTGCAACACACCATGTATATTTAGATAAAAATTTCACCTGAATTGCTGGTATATGAAATTGTTTATCAAATTTTTATATCGTTGTTTGATCTTCTCTATCAAGATAACAAATTTCAATTAAAAGCACTGAGCAGTGAGCACAACTTCTTCTCAGTGGCCATCTTTTTGGTGCTGTCATTGACTTTTCAGGAAAGGGGTCCTATAAGCACATTTAGTTCCTTTTTATTTCCTGTCTTTTGACTTATGTTTCTTTGCCTGCAGTTACAAAATCTTCATAAATCCCAGTGTCAGTGATGTGCTCTGCACTGCTACTGCCGAGGCCCTTGCGATGGGAAAATTTGTGGTCTGTGCTGATCACCCATCAAATGAGTTCTTCAGTGCATTCCCCAATTGTTTGACTTACAAAACACCAGAAGACTTCATAGAAAAAGTAAAACAAGCAATGGCGAATGAACCTCAGCCACTTACCCCTGAACAAAGATACAACCTTTCATGGGAAGCAGCCACCCAGAGATTTATGGAATACTCCGAACTTGACAAGGTTTTGAATAATGCAAGTCTAGGAGATTCACGTAGAAGCGGCAAAATGGCAATCACAAAATCTGGCTCAATGCCCGACTTGGCAGAAATGGTCGATGGAGGATTGGCATTTGCACATTACTGTTTCACTGGTAATGAGTTCCTAAGGTTGTGTACTGGGGCAATACCCGGAACAAGGGACTATGATAAGCAGCATAGCAAAGATCTTCATCTCCTGCCTCCTCAGGTGGAGAACCCTGTATATGGCTGGTAGGTAGATACTAACTTGTAAATCATTATTTGCATAATGTAATATAGAGTTGTGACATATTTAAGGTGTGTTGGTTTGAGGTCAATGTGATGATGCTTATTACGATTTTGTTTTGCCTTGGAGCTAGAAATATGTAGTTATGAAATGAAATGCAAATTACCAAGTGAGAGTTTATAGCAGCATATCTAGAATGTAGTTGTAAAGCTTCATTGGTAACTTGTTTAGTTGTCGAGCACTCTCACACCACCAAATATTTTCGTCTCTCTCCCCCTAATTCCATCCTGTTCTATGAAGGGAAAACTGGGCCCACATAGCATATGTTGATCAAACAAACAACGAATAATAAGTTAAATTTTAGTTTTTAGTAAATTTTGGTATGTTGTATGAATCTATTTTTGTGATTATATTATGTTCATTGTTTCTTCAAATGAGCTTCCTATTTTGATTCTATTAGGCTTGTGTTTGTTATTTGCATTTTATGTAGGCTTCGTAGGATGGACACTTCAATTTAGCTAGCGTGTTCGTGTTCGTGTTCGTGTTCGTGTCCGTGTCCGTGTCCGATACGTGTTGATATGGACACTTCTCGAACACTCAACTACAGGCATTTTTCATTTTTTTATTAAAAATATTATATATTTTTAACTCAAAGTTATTTATAAATAATAAATATGTACTCATATTGAAAATATTATAATGAGAAATTATTAACAAGTATAAAATTAAATTTATACTATATAAATAAAGAATTTTATGTGTCATATTGGTACTTCTTTAAAAAATTGTGTGTCGGCATATCTAACACGGGTATGTGTTGGTGCATCAAATTTTATTATTATTTTATTATTATTATTCTTATTATTATTATTATTATTATTATTATTATTATTATTATTTTGTAAACTAGTTGTTTACAGGTGATGAGTGAAGAAATTTTGTTAAAGAGTGACCAAAATCAGTTCAATCTTATTGGATTAGGATGGTTTTTAAGTTATGGTTCATTTGTTAGTCCATGGACCATGGTGATATCTCCACGGTTCCAAACTCACCGACTAAATAGTAAATAATATCAACGGGAGGCTAATTTAGTGACTAATTTTCACAATTAGTTTATGAAAAAGATTTAGAAAATTTACTTTACTATTTAAGTAATTATCACTGTTCTTGAAGTTCATGTCAGAGATTATATAGAATTAGATTTGATTACAGAAAGACGTTGAGCTTAAGTATGAACTCTTCCCCTGGCGGTAAAAATCGACATTTTTATTCTTGACAATTTGGTAATTCATTTATATTTGATATGCTCAATTATGCAGAAGTGTAAGATTAAGTCTTCATTTGGTAGCAATTTTTCATCTAAAAAATTCAATTTTTTTAATATTATTTTATTATTCCAGTCGTCATTTTTTATTTTCTTACTCACAAATCACTTTTCTTTCTAACAATAAAAAAATCAATTCTCATCACCACTATCTAATAGACCCTAAGAAAGAGGGGGGTAAAAAAGGATTGTCTTTTATGTTGTGTACAATCTTCTCCTTTTTATTTATTGGGATTCCTTTTTTTCCGTTTAATTACTTGGTAAAGTACCATCTTTTTATTGCTTTTATGGTAAAATACAGTATTTAATTATTGCGATTTAGATTAATTATTTGATTAAGCAAGTGACTGAAAGATGCATGCATGGCACGGTATTATAATTAAATTATATTTAAAAAGGATTTTATTAATGTATGTAGCTATGATTGTCTACACGCACTGAACCCCTCAAGATCTAGACATCTATTTTCACATGAGGGAAGCTAGTGATGAACCATTTAATATTATATCAGTTTTGGATGCAATAGATGGAACGAAAATAGTTCACAAATTATTTATCGACCATATTTTTCTTAATTCAATTCGATCCAGTTTCTTGTATCTTATACAATATAATATGAATGTTTATTTACTCGTCACTTTTGAGCATTTAGGTAAAATCATAATGAAATTAAGTTTGCCAAGACTTAAGAGAATAAAGTGTATTGAAATATATGTAGAGTTGTCAAAAAGGTGAAAATATGAAAGTGTAAAGAATTATTTGTCGAACAATTGGTGTTAATTGATGTTTCTATTTTATAAAAGACATGTTAGTTTCGACTTGAGATAGAAATTTCTTGTTGAATTACATGCTTGCTTATAATAGAAATAGATCCTCTTTGAAAGGCGGTGATTCAACACCCTTCTATTTACCCGGTAATGTTTGGCGTTTCCACCACTCCGTCAAGTATGCAAGACCTGAAAAATGAAGGCGGGGCTTTCTCCCCCGTTTTACCTCCGGCGTGAGAATTAGTTTTCAGACTTGGAAAGAATATATTTGGAAATCAGATGGCTAAAAATGAGAATGGGAGCTAAAAAAATCATCCCTTACCTGTGTCTCATCCGGGGGTATTTATAGATATTAGGCACTAGGTAACCGCTGGGCGGTTGTGATGCCACGTGTCCCACGATGATATTCCCACTACAGCCACGTTCTGAGTGATGAGTCCTTAACTTCCCGTCTGAAGATTGTACCCGTATCAGCGGCCATGTAACCTTGTCGATTCGTTAAAGGTTTTATGGCTAAGTGTTTGGACAAAGGATATCATTCCCGTTGAAGATTTCGCTTAGTGGTAGAATGATTTATTTGGGTAGCGGTAGAGCGCCCTTTGGGGGTTGTGGTAGAGTGCTCCCTAGACGTAGTGGTAGAGCGCTCCCTAGACGTAGTGGTAGAGCGCTCCCTGGGTGTAGTGGTAGAACGCCCTATGAAGGTCGATGGCCTTGCATCAGTTTGCTGTGATCTGCCTTGCTCGTCCTTGGGGGTGTCTCCTTCTACCAACCTATATCA